ACAGCTTCTTCAGGAGCTGGGACGTTGTAAAAAAATAGAATTTAATTTAATAATTATACTCTATTATGCATAGATTATAGAGCAATAATTATTAGCATATAAAAACAATTAAATATATTTACAAAATAGAAGGAGATCTCTTAGGTTATGGCAATTTTACCAAACCCCCCACCTCCTATGTGTCCACCATGTAGTGACAGCGGTTAGGGCCAATTCGGTGGACAGTATACGATGTGGGTTGCACCTGGTACTTTGCTGGTCCTATCCCACTGTGGTGTTCTGCCTTCTCCCGGCAGGTCAGCCGTTGGGGCGTCGTAGTTGAATGCATCAGCGATCCTGCGACGTCGCATTAAGACAGAAGACCCATTTTCGTTCTAATGGGTAGTACTGGTTTTTCTGACCGGGAGTTCCACATACCTATATATATGCAGGTTGTATACATAAATGCATTACCCAACGTTTAAAAAAAGGTTATGGTTATTCTATGTACTTTTTAGATTTAAATAATAACTTTGTATTGAATCTCTTATCTAATTTTATCTACCATAAAATAATTGTTCCGCCATATATATTGACGACGCGTTTGGCTGTTTGTAGTGACCCTACTTGCTGTGCCAGCGGTCGCGGGTTCGAGTCCCGCTGGAAGCATTCATTTGTGTGATGAGCACGAATGTTTATACTCCAGTCATGGGTGTTTATATTTATAATATGTATGTATTTAAAAGTTATATATGTGTAGTGTATCAACTATCTGGTATCCATAACACAGGCCTCGTAGCTTACCATAGAACTAGGTGATAATGTGTGTTAATGTAGGGACATTATATATATATATATATATATATATATATATATATATATATATATATTTGTTTTATTTATTATTATAGGACTTAATCTTTGCGTAACGTATGGAGATCTTGTTATGAAACTTTTAACTCCACTCGAGTGGATAACGTTGAGATTCATTAGAGTTTGGAAAGTTCATACTGTGTCAAGCACTGAGATGTACACTTTTTTCTGAAATATTACTATTATGTCATATTAGTTATCTATCTATATATACATTTAATAAAATTGTAACAAAGCCGAATCTGTATATTAAATGTTTTTTTGGAAAATCCTATTGAAATAGACATTATTATCGATACAGAAGCCGAATCTATAGTATTTAGAATTTTTGTCTGTCTGTCTGTTACCGCTTCACGGAAAAACCACTGGAAGGATTTTGATGAAATTTGGTATGATGACAGCTGGTTATCTGGGTCAATATATAGGATACTTTTTACTACGGGAAAATATCTCATCTCTAAGAAATCTATACATACATATATAGTGAGTTGCTAGTTGTTTTACATAAATGCGAAAGTTTTATGTGTGTATATGTGTTACCTCGTTCTGCTGGACGGATTAGGATGAAACGATGAACTCTTTAACTGAAAATTAAAATGACTCTGACTAAAAACGTAACACAACATTTAAAAATACTTAAATAATTATTATTCTACCATGAGCGTGTAGTATTTTATTGCAATTTGTTAGGACCACCTTTGAAATTCACAATATGGAGTAGTTAATATACACAAAAAATTGTTTGTATATTTATCATAAAAGCACCTCATATCTGAAGCCCATCAATATATTTTTTATGAATTGTAAGGCCTTATTTACATGATTGCCCATTTTTTTAAAATTTAAATGCATGTAAGTGAGTTTATATTCCACTATTACTTCTAAACGTCAGAACTAATTTGGATGTCTAATGTGTCAGTTGTCGTTAGAAAGTTACATTTCTGTTGATTTTTTTAAGGTTTTTTATACCTTTTTGTTTTCAAACAAATGCTACTAATATTGTAAAGATTAGACTCTTATATGTCGATTTTCATATCTGAAGTGAACTTTAATAAATCCAAAACAATTTAATAACTAACTGTATTTATCTCAAAAAACCTAATTAAATTAAAAATTAAAAAGACCCCCGACATGTGATTCGCCATTTTTCAACCGACTTCATTAAGGAGGAGGTTCTCAATTCGACTGTATTTTTTTTTATGTTTGTTACCTCAGAACTCCGTCATTTATTAACCGATTTGGACAATTTTTGTGTTGTTTGAAAGTGTATACTTCCAGATTGGTCCCATTTAAATTTCAAAAAAAAATACCACCCCTAAGGGTGGAAAAATAGCTAATGATGAATTTAACCTACTTCTAATTGTCATATTGACTTGAAACTTTGCAAGTGTTTCTATTTCCGATGATAGTACAGTGGTTCGGTAGTGTTGACCTGATCTGATGGTAAGGCCAGAAGGTAGATAGGTGGAACTCCTCATCGGCTAATAATAGATACTATGAGTTTGGGCTTATTTTGTTTGATTTGACATGCCTAACACGTTAGAATTCTTACTTTGCTACTACTGTCTACACTAAAAAGGGAAAAATAAAAACTTTGGCTAAGTAATTAAAGCCTACCTATTAAATACATACCTAATCAAATATTTTCGAAATCGATGCCAGCCCATACAAAGCAAAGCCCACCAACTTCGAAAATATTTGATTAGGTATATATAGTAAATGAAAACTACCAATCAGTTATTTTTTACTTTTTAGTGCTTTCGTTTGAAGTCGGTTTTTATTTTTTTGTCAAAAAGTTTTTGTGGTGGCCGCCATCTTATATTCATTTGATACCCATATTGAGAAAGTTGTGCGGCCATTTTGGACCGATTTTCATCAAACATAGCTAAGAGCACTCCCGACTTATTCACCTTTCAAAAAAAAAAACAAAATCAAAATCGGTTCATCCGTTTAGGAGCTACGATGCCACACACAGACACGTCAAACTTATAATACCCCGTCGTTTTTACGCGGGGGGTTAATAAAATCAACATTACAAATTTTAATTTATGGAATATCGTAGTCCAGTACGCTAAATATCTCGATGGTACCATTTATATAATACACAGACTAATGTTTTAGTGCAAAAATAATAAATAAATATGTTGGGACATTAACACACAGCACCATCTAGTTTCATGGTAAGCTACGAAGCCTGTGTTAGGACTTATAAACCAGACGGTTGATACACTACATATATATAACTTTAAATACATAAACGTTATAAATATAAACACCCATGACTGGAGTACAATCATTCGTGCTCATCACACAAATGAATGCCCCCAGCGGGATTCGAACCCGCCACCGCTGGCACAGAAAGTAGGCTCACTACAAACTGAGCCAAACGTGTCGTCTAAAATAACAATATACTATGGAATAATCTTAATTTTATTAATAAAATTTCGTTCAATAGTTTGTAATAGGATCATTTCGTATTAAATATTATTTATCAGAAATATTCTATTAATAACTATAGTTAATACTATCAATTTAATTAATCTTATTTGGTATTGACGATATTATTTCGTTATTAATTAACTTATAAGCTACTAAGGTTTCATATCAGGTTTAAGCGAGAGATAAAATATTTAGTATGCTTAATATGTATATCCCATAAATATTTTAAATTCGAATGTTTGGATGGATGTTTGTTAATCACGCCAGAACGGCTGAACGGATCTGGATGAAAGGTACAGAGATAGGTCTGTAATAGAACATAGTTTAGTATACTTATTTATAACTTTTTTATTTATGAACCGATTGATATAAAACAAACACTAAATGTTAAGTGAAGCTTACCACAATATATTAGTGAAAACCGTTTCTGAGATAAGCGTGCACAAACGCACAGACAAACAGACAAAAATTCTAACAATCATTGTTTTGGGTGATATTTGCGTTAATAAAGGTCCTAATAATATTTTTTCTCACATATCTTCCATGTACAAACAGCGATCGGTTACATTATTATTATATGTACAGATTTCTAGTTTGACATATTCATTTTAATTATATGACATTAGCTATTTAAATAAAACTATTTTTTCACCGTTGAAACAATTTTAAGTGTAACATGGAATAGAATTCTCATTCATTTGCGCTCTTTATTTAAAACCTTGCAATTCATGACTATGTAAATAACGTATCCATAGTTCTTGCATAGTTATAATAATGCATACAGATAGGCAAATTTTAAATCAATTGTATTTGTTTATTTCGAAATAATGATTTTTTACATTTATATTGGACTACTATTATAAATAGGAAAGTTAATATGTGCGTATGTTTGTTTCTCCTCCACGCTCTAACCATTCGATGGTATTGGATGTAATTCAATACACAGATATACTAAGACCTGTGGAATAGCATTATAAGCTACTCAGTCAACCACCTAGAATGAAATATAAAGAAAATACAACAAAACAATTTTGTTTATTGGCACATGGCAAATTGCGAGTAGCTGACGACAGAGCGGCTCGGCAAGCAGTAGTTGGTATTAGTTTCATCTCATTCACACCCGACAAATTTCACTCAAATAAAAAAAATCAAATCTAAATCTCTGTATTGACTCAACAGGATTCTCATTAAACAACTTTCAAGGTTTGGAAACTTATTAAAACTTTGTGTTGGCGCTCGCCGACTCAAATGTCACGTAGATGTATTCATGAGATACTACGTTTATTTCAAGTTTTAGCACCGAATTGTGTAATTTGGTCAAAGTTATTAAATTTCGTTCGAAGCTTGCTTAAGATAAGATACACGCATTTAGAATTAAAACGTTCTATGACTTCAGACATGACATTAAATTAAATTTTTTATAAAATTGTTACGACATTTAAATATATTATATTGACATCTTAAAATAATGTATACTAATAAATTATACTAGTAAATACGGCTATAATTCACAACAATGCAATCACGATTCATTATTAACGTAGTGTAATATTGATTTGAAACGCTTACATTATTTATGGCATATTATGGCAACTTAAGTTAGTTACACGAATTACATAAAAGAGTCAAGTAACAAGCAAAGAAAAAAATATAGTTCCTATTTTTATTTTTTTAATATGAATTATCCAAAAACGATTGGCGTTTTTTTCATGTGGTGCTTAATTATAAATGTAGAAGGAGTCGGTGAAAAATCTTTCCAAGCTTGTAAAAACTATGCACTAACTATGCTAGAATGCCAAAATATTTTGAATCCTGAAAAGAGAGTACGCGTACCCATAGATTTGCTTCTCTATCCTCATATGACACTCATAGGATTTCGTAAGAATAATGAAGATCAACCTTCTTGGAAATGCGGTGGGACATTAATCAGTGAAAAATGGATAGTAACAGCAGCGCATTGCATTGAAGACCCTGTAGAAGGTACAGCTAGTGTTCTTAGGATCGGTACTGCGACCTTTGAATTCGATGAAGTTGAAGAACTCGCTCAAGAAAGAAACATTGATACAATCATTCCTCATCCTGAATACAGACCACCATCAAAAGACCATGATATAGCTTTAATGAAGGCAAAACCAGCTTTCACTCTTAGTAGAGACATAAGGATAGCTTGTTTAAACCAAAATGATGATTTAGGTGATAAAAAACTTACAGCGATAGGTTTTGGTAAAACAGTATCCGTTGCATCGACTGGTAGTGAAACTTTAATGAAAGTCGACTTAGATATTATTAATAGTGAAATTTGTAATAGATCAATGCGATATTTGATTAAGCGAAAAATTTTACAGTTCGGTATAACTGAAAATCAACTGTGCGCCGGAGATTATGAGAATGGGGGAAAAGATACATGCCAAGGCGATTCTGGAGGACCGTTGCAAATAATGGACGATAGAGTGGATTGTGTGAAATCTTTTCCCTTGCACAAATTAGTTGGAATTACCTCGTTTGGAAGAGACTGTGGTAGGAAAATGGCGCCAGGAGTCTACACAAGGGTTTCCAGATATATAGAATGGATTGAAAACATAGTATGGCCTGATGATGAAATTCTAACAATCTATAAGTTTTACAATAAATGACCTATATTTGATAACTAATTTTTGCCTGCAGCTCTGTGCGTAACAGTACACCAATAAGGAGTAGCCTATATATTAATCAAGGGTATAAACTACATATCATTTTGAATTTTACTTAAATCTGTTTAGCAGTTACAGAACTAAAAAGTAGAAAAACACAAAATATATTCTTTTAACACACTTATTAATAAATCCTTGCATTTACAACATTAATAATTGATAAAGTATTATCAATCTCTAATACTTTCCAAGATTTACAAGGACATTTGATAGTTTAAAGAAAATTATCTTTTAGGATCTTCACATCAACACAACATGTAATCTGAATAATATCTAGGGATGTGCACTTCTACTTATGAAATATAACCTCAGAAAAGAAAAGCAGGGCTCTCCTGAAATAAAATAGAAACGTAAAAATTATAAGGATATATTATATTAAAGATATGGCTTAAAACGGAGACTCTGGCTTTCGTAAGGCCCGCCCTTTATTTTGATCTTTATGATTAAATATTATTTGAACTTATTAAATATGAAAATTCATCATTTAAAAAGTTCAGATCTACTGGATAGATGAATGAACAATAAATTCACAGTCAATTTTTTTTATTAATTTGGTAAGGTATGATTTAGCGAGTTTTGTATTAATTATGCATTAGTTAATTAAGATTTTTTTCCTACTTGAACATGAACATTGCAAGTGCGATAATTCTTAAATATTTTTTTTATTTTTTGGAAAAATTAAAAAAAAATGATATTTTTCACTTTGTTATCAACAATTTACTTAGGTTAAAAAATTTAAACTTAGGTTTTAAAATTCGTATCGTATAAATAAATTATTTTTTTCAAAAAAATAACACATGGTTGTTTTTGTTTATAACAAATTGTTTGTTAGACAAATAATGAAGATTTAAAAAAAAAAAATTTTAATTGTTTGACTTTTTCAAAATTATTCCTTAATAAGTAACAATTAAAAAAAAGTTATTTGATTTTAGCTGTTATTATTGTAAATATTACGATTTATTAAAAACTTTATTAGTTGATAATATTATTAAGTGTTGCTATTACATATTATATTATGTATGAATTTTTGAAATCATTTTTGTAAAGTTTGTGGGTAGGCACTGTCTGTAATAACATTTTGTAATATAATAATAATGTCTGTAATAACAACAGGGTCATTTTTAATTTACTGAAAACCTTTTGAGAATAGTGTATTTTAGTGTATTTATTTACAACATAACAACAACATCTGTAAGAAAGAAAAATAATATATCTTAAATTTAACAAAAATAAAAATATTTTTATTGCACCTTCTCAACGGTAATAGTCCAGCATTAGCAAAAGAAACTGCGTGTCCGGTGGACGGTGAGGGGTGGAAGGGTGTAGGAAACCACGCTTACTCATTTAAACTTTACAGTTTAGAAGGTGCAAAAAAATTTTTTATTTTTGTATGAAAATAAAAATTTATGAAATAATTTTTTTTTTTGTTACAGATGTTGTTGTTATGATGTAAATAGTATATTCCCAAAATGTTTTCAGTAAATTAAAAATGACCCTGTATAATACCTTTGAGACATCTAAAATCTTAGTCTCTCCCGTGACCATAATTGCTGTAAATCATTCGAAACGTCCGGGACCAAAAATCAAAATAAAATAGATAAATAGTTTATTAAAAATGTCAAATATTTGCGTCAATCTAAGAAAGTATTATTATAAATAATTCACTAGCTTATTATTAAGTTTAATTATTATATTTTATAATAACAATTTAATCTTCGACATCGATAATGTATTATCAGCTTGCCCTTTGGCATAGGCCTCCCCTAGGGTTTTCCATATTTCCCTGTTTACAGCTTTTTCTTACCAAGTTTTTTTATTTATATTTGGTTGCTTAAATAATTTTAATTGTCTTTTAATAAAACCTGATAATTACGAAGCTTTTTTATTATAATATCAATATGTTGCCTGAAACTCAGTGAACTATCGAATATAACACCCAGGTCTCGGATACTTGTAACTTCATGGATAGGTAAATTATTTATATGATATATAACTAGTTCAGAATTAATTTTACGCGAGAATTTTAAAAAGAAACAATTCATAGGATTAAGATAAGTTTGATTTAAATTACATCAATTGACAATAAAGTTTGTATGTTTGTAAAATTTGTTTATCGGATTCGTCATTAATAACACGATAAACTTTTAAGTCATCGGCAATAAATTTGATTTAATAAAATTCCATAAATCATAAAAAAATAATAAAAATATCAGTGGGTCAAGATGTGACCCTTGGGGAACCCCAGAAGTTACTTCGCACTCTTCTGATTAAAACGACGAATGTTTACTAATAAATTATTTAAGTATGACTCAATCCATCTTAAGACACTAACTACCGTGGATACCCATATTTTCAATTTTCTTTAACAATAAATTATAATGATTCACTAGATCAAATACTTTTTTGAAATCAGTATATATAAAATGGACATCTTTCTTTTTATCTAAAACATTCTGCAATATCAGATACATAAGAAATTTAATTATAAGCCTGGGTATTTATTATTAATATAATTATAAGCCTTACCGGGTAAAAAGCCAAGTTGGTTTTATTCACCAATAATCGGTCTGATCAACCGATAATTGTGAAAATATTTACTGCTAAAAAGTTCCTAAATAAGCGGTTGGTTATGGTTCGAAATAAATATACATAATTAAAATAATAAATATTATTAATATTGTTTTACCCTCCTATTTTCTCGATCATACTGTACGCGAGTGTGGTCTGCGTTAGAGCAATAGTGCAAGAGGCCAAATAAATAATGATAATAAAGGTGTATACCCATAAAAGAAAAATATATTATTATAATATTTGACGGCACGTTTGACTCAGTTTGTCGTGCTACTTGCCGCGCCAGAGGTCGCGGGTTCGAGTCCCGCTAGGAGCATTCATTTGCGTGATGAGGACGAATGTTTGTACTCTAGTCATGGGTGTTTATATTTATAATATGTGTGTTGTATAGCCGATGCGAAGCAAATCTAATATATTTCGATACGTTAAACACATATTTACCTATTAGATATTCATATCCTAAATATTTTCGGCTGGCACCGACTTCAAAAATATCTGAATAGGTATCTATTCTAAATGAATTTTATTGCCTGGAAGTCAGTTTTTTTTAAATTTTTATTTGTCCATTTTTAGTGTAGATGTAATAAGCACGTAATTTGTTAGAAGAAAGTTTTTTAATAACATGTTTTTTTTAAATAATTTATTTGTTGATTTAAAAAAACCGCTTGACCGATTTCGATAAAATTTATGTGGGACTACCTGAGAAGTATACCCTTTAAAACAAAATAATTTTTTTCCAAATCTGTTCAGGCGTCTTCGAGTAATGGGTGAATATACATAAAAAAAAGATTCCGACGAATTGAGAACCTCCTCCTTTTTGGAAGTCGGTTAAAAAAAGGAATATAGCCTTTTTTAAATAAAAAGTAGCTATCTATATTCTAAATGACGGTTGTAAAGTGAAAACTTCTATACGCAGGTTTGGATGGAGAGTAAATTCATGTAAGTCGTCATCGACATGGTCACGTGACGTGATGACGTTAACATACAGAGTGCCGATAGATGGCAAAACCGGATAAATGTAAACAGTTTTAATAAAACATGTTAGTAGTTATGAATTCCAAAGTTTCGTAAGAACAATTTCATTTTTGTAAAATAGTATTTTCTTTTACTGATAAAGAAGAGATAGACATTGAAAAAAAATCAATAACTTAATGGTACATTAAATATTTTTGTTAACTATTTAACATTTTACGATGATTTTGTTTAAAACGTTGATTCAAATTTTATAAAAAAAAGATTGTAATTACTATTATTATCATTCTACAATACCTAATAAATTACTAATTTATATAGATATATTTTTGTAAATACTTGTAATTTTGTACTTAAGTGTAATTTGTATTTCTCAAAATTGTGTAATTTCTATATTGATTAAATATTATATTACATGATGTTATATGTCGGTATATTAGTATATTTTCGAATAATTTGTTAAGACGTATTTCAGAATGAAATTTGTGACAAAAAAGAAATACAAAATTCTTAATATTTTTTTTAAATAGCCTAGGGTCACAGAGGAAACACAGATATGCACACATGAGAGCTATCTTGAGAGATCAGGGAAAGCCCAACCGGGTAATACGAGTTAGGACAGCACGAAATCAAGTGGGTCAAAAAGGTTATCTATCTGTTATCATCGTTATTCGCTACAAACTGATAACGCTCTTCAAATTAAAGCAAAATTCGCTAAAGCAAATGAACAGAAAAGATGGAGAACGCATCGCCTCCGTTACTGCGTTCCGCGTCTTCGGCTCGACAACTCTGGACCATCGCGATATTTCTGCATCTCCACATCCTCATCGCGGCTGATCCCCAGCTACGGTACCAACAGTTCACAAAGCTGGGTTATACTCTCGACGAGAATAAACCATGCCTGTTTGACTGTGTAGATGGAAGATGCAGAGCGGGAGTAAGTAGAGAATTGGTGCCATGCAGAGACAGCGGAGAATTGGCTCCTACCTTCCACACAATAAGGGAATCCTCACACGAGTATTGTTTAAGTAATTGCGGCAAATTCGGTACAGACTACGAGTGGTGCTATGTTGACTCGTACGACAAATGGGATTATTGCAGCAGCGTGACAGAAAACAAAATGATAATTGATAGATCGTTCACCTATGATGGAAAAGCGTGTAGTGACGAATGCACTTATCGTGGTTATCATTATTTGTGGTGTAACACCTTTGATCGCTCTTATAGTTGGGGCAAGTGCGATCCGGGAGTATTTAGTTACGTTCAAGCATACACAGCAAGAGGAACTCCATGTTGGGGAAGATGTGAAAAACATACGAGTGGGGAACTTTCGAAACATGCATATAACGTGTGTGAGAGTTCAGCTGACATTACCGAAGGTTGTGCTCCACCGGCTTTACCAATCGCACAATTGAATCATATGCTCTCCTGCTTACCAGAAACTAATCAATGTCCAGCAATACCACGGCGGCGCCGTAGAAATGTTCCGCCCACATATTCAGAATTACCACGGCGCAGCCGTAGGAATGTTACGTTTACCCAATGTGTGGATGGATTAACTAATAACTTAGCACGAATCCCAATTATGTCTACCACGATCTTGGCGAATCCTAATAATCCAATTTTTAGTTACACGATGATACCAGCAGCATATACGGGTCGTGCGGCACTACCGGTCGTCGTGAGAGCTAGAATCACCCCGGCTACTATTAGGACAGGTCCTCGCAGAGATATGCCTTCCGCAGTTACAAATAACCTAGATGCAATGGGTATGATAAGAGTGGGAGTTAACAGAGATGAAGCTGGTCATTTAATCGGGTCGCAGTTAGGTGGTGTCGAGACAATCTATAATGTGGCACCGCAGACGAGAAGACTTAACCGTGGGGAAGGACGATTTAAAGATTATCCTCGATGGAGACCCTCTGTGTGGTACATTAGGGATGAGAATATAAGATCATTCATTGATAGAACTAATGGTACTGCAGATCTGACAGTCACAGTACGATATGACTTGACGAGGTCATTTAGACCTATAGGGTTCCATGTGAGCGAAGTTTTGAGGAACCCTGACGGGTCTGTGGCTTATGAATGTCCTGATTTTTATTACTCCAATGATCCTGATCACGTCGAGTAATAAGCATTAATAAAGTGAACGTACTGTGTTAAATATTCTTATACACAATTTATAGAAATAAAATTTTATTAGTAATAAAACAAACATTTTGTTAGATTTTTTATTTTTTATTGTTATGTTCATTTAAATTGTTATATCACATTATTATTGTTCATTTATCTATCCAGCAAGCCCCTGATTTTTCATTTCTCAAATTTTATATTTAATATGTTAAAGTAATATTTATTGATAGTGCCGAAGTGGGCGTGGCTTGCGCTAATCAGAGCACCCGTTTTAGACCGTATTTTCATCCCTCTGGGAAAATTAGAAATATTGATCTTACAATTCCGGGAGTTGACATTTTTTTAGGAAATTTCCTTCTCTTTTTGTTTTTTTTTTCAGATTTAAAAACTTCAATTAGTTTTTAAAATATTTGCAAAAAACTAAACGCCTTTTTCATTTTTAGTTAATTGTTTATAACTTATGCAATTTTTAAAAGCGGAAGGAACTTGATGTTTTTAAAAATCATCTACATGCCATTCACAAACCGAATGACACCTTGTTCATATTTTTCCGAGAAGTTTCTTTTCAAAAAAAACCTTAGTATACTATACATCTACTTTTCCCTGCCCATTCCCCAATCACTTGGGGTCTGCGTAGTAGATTTTCTGTACTGCTAAAAGGATTTGGCAAATGTTGTACGAGCGGCCGCCTGCCTAACGTCAACCCTGGGAATGCTATTGTCTCTTTTTGTCTGAATGGTGTCGCGGAAGTCTTGTAATTATTATGCACTTTGGATATTGTTCTTTTAAAACATTTTTATACTATTACTTAAATTTTTAATGTTATTTTCGTTATTTTATATATATTTTAAAATAAATTTTGATTACACCATAAATGTTGTTTTGACGTTGTCAATTTTTTTCCAAAAATTATATTATCCTAGTCTACTATAGGTACTATATATTAATACTATAAAGAGGTAAAGTTTGTGAGTTTGTGACGTTGTAGGGGGTAATCTCTGGATCTACTGGACCGATTTAGGTTAAAGGTAGAACTTTTTATGCCGGAAATCATTCCTTAAGGGAGTGAAAATGGGGGATGAAAGTTTGTATGGTGACTCAACTTAGGGACGAACCCGAGCGACGCGAGAGTGAATCGCTTTATAAAATAAAAACGTTCAAAACAGGTTAAAGAAATAAATATACTTTACTTACAGCAATATAACCCTAATAATCTATCAGTAAAATGACTGTGACATACAAACACGTGGACAGGCCTTTAATTATATGGATTTCATTTTAGTTCAGATTCATTGGTGTCATATAGGAATGATAATCGCTTTGCCCTGCTTTTTTATACGGGAACGTTTTTATGGAGAATAAATGTACAGTGGCGTGCTATAGGAGAGGCCTACGTCCAGCAGTGGACGAAAGTAGGCTAACCTATACATATAATAAAATTGTAACTAAGCCGAATCTGTACGTTAACTATTATTGGGAAAATCTTATTGAAATAAACATTATTATCGATATAGAGACCGAATCTATAGTTTTTAGAATTTTTGTCTGCGTCTCTGTCTGTTACAGCATCACGGAAAAACTACTGGAGGGATTTTAATGAAATTTGGTATGATGATGGCTGGTTATCCGGGTCAACATATAGGATACTTTTTATTGCGGGAAAATCTCTCATCTCTGAGAAATCTATAGATATTAAACGTTAAAACTTAAGTAGGGACGACCCGAGCGATATAGCGAGGGTGAGTCACTAGTAATAAATAATATTAAAATATGATGATGATGTGTACTATTATCATATTTTTGCTAAACAATAAAATAAACCTTACTTCTATTAATTCATTTCCTCAAATATCAAACGATAAATAAAACGGATGCCATATGTATGTACGTGTATTCCATATGGCTTTAACATAGATATAAAACTGATAAATTTTACCATTCAATACACCGATGGAACCGATCAAAATCTTTCCATATATTCGAAAGTTCATACGATAAATCACACACCGTATGTGACTGATGGTCGGTCGACTTGTAGGTCTGTACAGTGTGGTAGCGAAAGTTAAATGTTTGTTGTTGTGACATAGTCTAGAATGTCGTTTTTTAAAATAAAACTTCATGTTGTAGTATCTATATAGGTATATAAAAGAAAACCATGACTGACGGAGATGAAACCGCTGAACGGATTGAGTTGAAATATGGGATTTTATTTCACACAGATAGTTATTATGACGTAACATCCGCTAAGAAATTTTTGAAAATTCAACTTCTAAAGGGGTGAAACGGGGTTTAAATGCATATGGAGATTATATGTGAGTCATACATCAATTAGAAAATTAGCAGGATTACTTCTGTCAACAAATAAATAAACACGATATGGCCGCCTACTGTGCGTCTCTTTTTTATGTACATTTATAATTTCTATGCATTTCTTGTATGGTGTGCAATATAAAAACTTAAAAAAAACCGTCTTCCAAAAAAAAACTAAAAATTAAAAAATAACTGATTGTTAGTATTCATTTACTATACTATAGATACCTAACTAGATCTTTTGGGAGTAGGTGTGTTTTTTGTATTAGCTGGCACCGACTGACGGCGACGTGAAAGGTAACAAATATACACAAACAGACTTTCATATTTATAATAGTGGTTCAACCTATTTCACGTTGATATCCTGAAACTTTCCCAGGCCAATTTACAAAAGCTAAGCAAAGTTTCAACTTAATCTAAATATATAAATAAACTACCGACTCACCCTCGCTTCGCTCGGGTACGTTTTAATTTTTTTGAGCGGAACCCTAATTCTTTTTCTAAAATAAAAGTAGCTTATGTTATTCCCTATGACATCAGCTATCTTCCAGTGAAAGTCCCATCAAAAGCCATCAAAATCCCTAGCCGTTTCAGAGATTATCCGGAACAAATAGACAGACAGACAAAAAATTTAAAAATTGTGTTTTCCTTATAAGTACCATATATAATTTCATATGCATTTAGTAAAACGCTGTTATTTTGACATTACAAATAGACACTTCAATTTAATTTATCTATATAGATAAAGGATGAAAGGTATAATATAAAACGTTACAAACGGACAAAACGAAAAAAAAAAACATTGTGATATACAAAAGACTACATACAAATTGTATGTAACATTCATTTCTTACACCGGCTTATTCTGTATAGCTCACTTGATCGTATTCAATGCCTTTGTCAATATTATCGAATATTTAATGTATGAAACCAGACGACTGGCTATCGACAGGTTTCTATTGGAATGCTTTGCCATATCACGGGGAAGGGATTATGATATGCCCATGTTTGTACACCTGCGGACAAACATATAGGTACACTACTTTTATTATATACTAGGATCTTCCTGCGGGTTTGCATGCATTTAGGTTTAGTTACCAAATAAACATAACCCCAATTTTTATAAGTGGTTAGTTAATCAAAATTCAAATACAAATGTGTGTGAATATTTTTAACTCAATACTTTAACAGCTGGGCAAATTTGGATGAAATTTTATACATAGATAAGCTGTGACGTGGAGTAACACAAAGGCTAGGGGTACTTTTTTTTTAAGTGTCGGGAAATGCATTTACGCATATCACCTGATCCTCCAGGTGGTGATGTATATTAGATACAATGCAAATTAATACTTTTATAAATATGTGGACTTATATATACAGCAACAATATAAGCGCGAGTTTTTATTTACGTACTTAATTTCGAGGATAAAATTTTAAAATCAGTTATTAGTACTCTTGTTTAAGATTTCATTGCAGAGCGCTATGAAGATTTCTCTTCTAACCATGATTTATGTAGGTATATTTATAATAAATATAAATAATAAATAAATATGTTGGGACATTAACACACAGCGCCATCTAGTTCCATGATAAGCTATGAGGCTTGTGGTTTGGATACCAGATAGTTGATACACTACACATATATAACTTTAAATACATACATATTATAAATATAAACACCCATGACTGAAGTACAAACATTCGTCATTACATAAATGAATGCTCCCAGCGGGACTCGAACCCGCGACCGCTGGCACAGCAAGTAGGGTCACTACAAACTGAGCCAAACGTGTCGTCAAATTTATAATACTTATGTATTTATAGATTCTTACTGTAACTAGCGACATTATAGTAATATAGCTAATTATATAAACTACCCTCGCTTCGCTCGGACTCATTCCTAGGCACGTTTTAACGGTTACTATGGAATAGATAGACTATATTTTATATGATATATAGCCTATAGCCTTCCTCAATAAATGGACTACCTAATGCAAAAAGAATTTTTCAAATATGATTAGGTAGTAGTAGTTCTTGAGATTAGCGCGTACAAACAAAACAAACAAACTGTGTATCTTTATAATATTAGTATAGGTGTGAAAGTTATTGAGTGTATGTTTGTTACTTCTTCACGCTGTAACATCCAAAAAAAAAATGGCTATTTTTATCATGGAGGGACAGAGATGCGTACAACAGCTGGTATTTATTATAATCAATACGTTGTATTCTGTAACACATTCAATGTTTCCTTTCGTATTGAATGAATAACGTAACCCAGTTTAGAGTGATTTTGACGTTTTGCCAACCGATACCAGCTGGGAACAGAATATACTTATTTTCGTGAATATGATATTTCGTTATGTTTCTAAGCTCGCCAAATATAAGGAACGTATCGTATCCACTCACCATATTTGGGTTTTTACATTATAATATTTTTTATATACTAAACATTTATACTAGGTATCGGTAGCCCAGTGGTAACTTTGAAAACCTAATAACGCGAGTTCAAAACCAGGGTCGCATCTAATATTTTCATGAGCGAATCTTTTCTACATGCTTACTACAAGAAAACTGCATGTCTAAGAAAAAACTAACTGGTTTTTGTTGGTTTCACTTTAACCACAAAAGCTACTAGGCATTCGATTTTTTTTCCAGACCCTTAAATTATAGTCAGTCAATGGTTTC